CAGAATAATTATTAAAACAAACTGACAATTAAACAAAATATATATATATATATTTTTTGTATTTTTAAATTTATATAAAAATAAAAATAAAGTACTATTTTTGTATTTTTTCAAAATTTATGAGAAATAAATAAACTAAAATTTATATATCTTTTTTTTGTAATTTTCATTTTTGTGACGAAAATAAAGTAAAAAGAGTCAAAATAAGCTGAAATAGCTACATTAAGGCTAAATTAAATATTTACGTGCTAAAAATGTGAAAGATTTGGGGAGGGACAAAAATCATATGTCAACAGTTGCCCCTCTTTGACTGAAAATGCGAAGAGTTTTCAGACAAAGAATGACTAGACAGGTTTTTGACCCGACCCTTATTTAAGGAGACCAAAAGAAAGAAGAAAGGAGAATGTGACCGAGCTCTGGTATCTGAGCTGTCTACATATCCTTGGCTATAAAGGAATCAAGCCATGTGTAGTTCAGAAGTGAATGGGGCGATGGAGTGCCGAGGTTGAGAGCCGCGCAAGGTTCCATCGAAGTTCCGGTCTGATGTCCTATTTATTACATAAAAATCAAAATTAAAAAAGACTAACTAAGCCTATCAGCTACGAGTTACAAGATTCCTATCTATAATTCTTTCGCAACTTGATCTTGAGTCTTAGCTGATTCTGCTTGTAGATTTCGATCTGAATCTTGATGCTCTCAAGTTGTAGGCGCTTGTTTATTTCTGCGGCATTGAGTGAAACGGGATTGGCGGAGCTCGGGAATTTGATCCAATTTTTGAGCGACCTGCCCTTCGTTTGTTCCAATATGTGGGAACATCTTCTTCTTTTTTTTGTTATTTTCTTCTTTTCTTTATTCTGGATTGAGACTCATCTCGTAGGTCGTCTCGATCCATGCACCTCAGGGTCAGACTTGCTGAGACAACAAAACAAACGAACGAAATTTTTCTGCCCCAGTTTCACTAGGAAAATTTCGTGAGTTAATTGCCATGAAAATTTACAGCACTGATGAGGGGATTGGAAAAAATTCTAGTCTACAAAACGCAACTCAGGGATTGGAGCCCTAATGTCGGCTAAAGGAAAAACGCTCAGTTCAGGGATTGGAGCTCTAATGCTGGCTAAATGGAAAAGTGCTCAACTCAGGGATTGGAGCCCTAATGTCTGCTAACAGAAAAATGCTCAGTTCAGGGGTTGGAGCCCTAATGCTGGCTAACAGAAGAATGCTCAGTTCAGGGGTTGGAGCCCTAATGCTGGCTAACAGAAAAACGCTCAGTTCAGGGGTTGGAGCCCTAATGCTAGCTAACAGAAAAATGCTCAGTTCAGGGATTGGAGCCCTAATGCTCGCTAAATGGAAAAAATGCTCAGTTAAGGGGTTGGAGCCCTAATGCTGGCTAACAGAAAAATGCTCAGTTTAGGGGTTGGAGCCCTAATGCTGGCTAACAGAAAAATGCCCAGTTTAGGGGTTGAAGCCCTAATGTTGGCCAAATGGAAAAACGCTCAGTTCAAGGATTGGAGCCCTAATGCTGGCTAATAGAAAAAATGCTCAGTTCAGGGGTTGGATCCCTAATGCTGGCTAAAAGAAAAACGCTTAGTTCAGGGGTTGGAGCCATAATGCTGGCTAACAGAAAAATGCTCAGTTCAGGGGTTGGAGCCCTAATGTTGGCTAACAGAAAAA